AGGTTATTACTGTACGATAATATGTACTTCAATGATATTCTATATTTAATCATAAGAAAATAGAAAAAAGTATATAAATGATGTTTATGATGTCTTCTGGGCTATATTATTTGTCATATCTCGTTATCGTAACTGGATGTTTATTGGAATTTTGTCGAGCGACAACGGATCTTCCATCTCATTATGTTTCTATTCGGTGATCAAAACAATAATAATCCAATTTGATGTCAAACTAGCGAATTCGTTTACCGCTCGATCGGGCAAAATCTGGTTAATGTTAACTATTCTGTTGATAAGAGAATAAAACTTTTCGTATTTTTCTTACAAATGTATAGCTGACTTGTCTGGTTGTTTTTCTTGGTCTCCTCTCTTCTCTCATTTTTATCACAGTTATTCATCTGATTCTTGTTATCAATAGTGAATTATTGTTATTATTATTATTATTATTATTATTCGTAAGAATCAAAACATTTTTAGATTAAAGAAAAAAATCCGAGAACTTTTCATTCTCGTTGTTTTAATAAGGAAGTCAATATCGGTAGAGAAAAGCTGCTGTTTCAATAGTAAAAAGTAACGATAGAAGCAAAGGAAAAAAGAGAAGGAGATCAAATACATTTTATTGTGGTAAAATCGTTTGGAACATAGAGAAGAGAGAGAGAAGAAAACTACCACAATGTCGCTTGTAAACGACCATCATAATAAGCATTGAAATAGAGAGAAGAAGAGAAGAGCTGTATTGAGTCGTCATTAAATTGTTTTTCCTTCAAATTTTTTTTGTCGGCTGCTTCATCGGTTTTGGCCTTATAACTGCTGACAAAGTGCAATGCTTTGTCTTTTTTCTTTTCTCGTTCTTCAATACTCCTTCTTTTCTCTCTTCTTTTGGTGCCCTTCTCTCGGCATCGTCCTTTTGTCAGTTAAAACTCGTCATCAAATTGCGTGAACAATCATCTTTTGTATTAGAAAGCAACAACGCGTGTGTGTCAGAACATATTGTAGTCGTTTGTAGCTGTTGTATTACTTTTCACATCTTTCTTTTTTTCTTCTTTCTTTTTCTTTCATACGATATATACACGCACATCATCACTATCGGCTGGTAAGGTGATCTCTTTTTTTCTTATACGCATACCTAATTATTCAATGTCATCACATCATCACAGAGTTGACAATAACGATGAAGACTATTCAATGAGATTTCAAGGAAAACGGAAAAGAAATTCAAGTCTCTTTTTTTTTTCTCTCGTTTTTCTTCTCTTTTTCTGTTGAGAGATGGTGTGACTTCCATTGACATCTTATTGAAACCGTTCAACACATATCCATCGTTCTGTCATCATCATTATTGTCCTGCTGTGCTCATTCATTCACATAGTCTCATCATCTTTATCATTGAGTGTTTGCGCTTTTTACTACAGCTATTTTACATTCATTTTTTTTTCTCTATCTTTTTCTTTTTCTTTTTTTTTTTCTTCTTCTTCTTCTTTTTTTTTCTAGTATATTAGCACATATTAAATGATGGCACAACTCAATAGTTCATTCGTATTTATATTAAAATAATTATTGTAAATTATTATATCGTTTTCTTCTCCTTCAACATTATTATTTATATCAATTAGAGATATCTTTACATATATTCCTTCAATTTAATCGTTCCAAAAACTTAGTTTCTTTTATATATTGTATGAGCATCAATTAAAAACCAAGTAATGGGTAATGCAAATTCGGGAAAAAAAGGCGATCAAATTGAGAATGGTAAGAAGCAAATTTGCACACAAATAGTTACTTAGTCTCATGAGATTCATAGATGCGTTCAAAGGAAAAGCAAAATGTCGATAGATGATTGAGTAGATAGATAGATATTTTTATTCGATGGTTTTTTTTTTTATAGATATCTAAAGATATAAAGACATCAATATTACATTTGCAATGTTTTAATACAAAAAAATTCTTCTATCACCATATATGTGTAGATTTTTGTCAAAAACCATGAAATATACGATTGTTTTTTGTTTTTCGACTAACATCTGGATATGTTTATCATATAAAACAAATATGTTAACGACAAAATTTCTAACTAGTAAATAAAGCAAAATTTTAATTAATTGTTATTCTAGAATTTAAATATTATCATAAAGAAATTTATCGTCATTAATCGGTATAACATTGAGCTGTTTTCGTACCCCTTATGGAACTAGATTTTCTTTTTATCGGTATTTTTTGTCAACGAAACTAACATCCGGTAGTGAGCAAGAGAAAATTGTTTCCTTCTTGATTTTGAGATATTATTTGATTTCAATGAAATCAATTTAAGAAAAAAGAGAAAAACTACTAAATAATAGACTTGAATGAAGCAATTAGTTGTCTAGTCTCAAGTATCATATATAACCTTGAAAGGTCTGATCAATTTGTTTAGTTATATTGGAGTTTGTTTATTTAAAAGAAAAATATAATCATTTCATGAAATATAATAGAATAAGTTTTCAAATTATAAATGGCAATATTGATTTTTATAAAAAGAAAAGAAAAATAACATCTAATAGTTTTTAATGACGACTAGACTTTTATTTAAGAAAAGAAATTTGTTTTTTTCTTTTTAATAGAAAAAAAATATTGAAGATTAAGTTTATATCGATTTTTTTGTATAAAAAGAAACAAATTACTTTAATATAAAAATACACTAAAAGATATTGTTTTAAGCAGATTTTCCAGAAGAAAACAAAAGATAATTATAGGTCTTTAATTTGGTTATATCATAGTATCTGACTTTTTCTTTAAGTCAATATGATCTTAATCTTTTTTTTGTTTTTGTGCTACTGTAACCTTGTATTTATCTAAGACTAAATTTCGACGTATTACCTATCTCATTTATTTTCTGTTTGGCTTCTAAAAATATTCTTCTACTTCAAACTTGTCAGATTCATGTATCACTGACCTTCTCTAGAGAGAAAAAAACTCATGTTACTAATTAATCTTACTTAACATTAAAAGAATATTACTCATTTTTATAAGAAAATATTTAAGCAATTATATTATTACAATAATAAATATTTGCAAAATGAAAACAACATAATTGATATGTAATATAGATGAAATAGAACTAGTAACTCAATCCTAATCGAGTAAAAGAAAAAAGAAATACATTAAATATAAGTGAATAAATCTTATTTGTTTACTATTTATTAATTGAAAATTATATTCGATTTCATGTTTATAAGCTTCTGTTAACTATATTTGTATTTATGAGAAAAGAATTTCTTTATTAAAGTATTAAGTAGTCTTAAAATTTTGATGTATTTGTAATTCTTCTATACAATTTAATAGACAAGAATAAAGATAAGTAATATGTTAGCTATTTTTGTTTATCGTTTTTTTAAATAGATCGAGTAAATGAGAAATCTCCTACATAACAACAACTAAATGTAGCGCTAAAATTAATCTTTTGTATAATAAGTAGCATATTACTAGCTATTTTTAGCATATTCACATTAATCTTGTTAGTGAATAGGAAAAAAATTCATAAAAGCTACTTTATCTAAATAGCTTTTTCAAAATATCATGTTTTCTTTTGACCCTATTTTGTTTGTAATAGAAATTAAGATAATTTTAGTAGTTGAAGTTGAAGACTTACAATGCCTTGATAAAGAGCTGATTCAATCCAGAGATATTCTAAGCAAAGAAGAATTTTTTGAGAAATGCGTTTAAATGTCCTGATCACAGTATCTGTTTATACGTTTTCACAACCATTCAAAATACATGAAAACTAGTCGCTTGTGTCTTATAGGTTCCATGGAAATGTTTTAAAAGGCTACCATTTCATCAGAAAAAATTCCTAAAAGTTTTTCTTTTCACAATATTTTTGACCTATATGTCACGCATTAATAAGTGATTTTTATTTGCAAAACACATTAAAATATTGTGAAAAAGACTATTTTTCGCACGTTTCTCATATGCAAATTTTGCTTTGTTAAGCGTTCTTATACATCTTTTATGATGCAAGTGCCTTGTTTTGCTAGGTTTTGAATGGAAATGAACACGCTCGAATAAGAATCGTGACAAAGAATGTTTAAACATTCCTACAGAAAGCCTTGTATGCTTTAGAATATGTAGTAGCTGTAATATTTGTCTTAATCAGTCAGGCAGTCAAGGACTTTTTTTTATTTGTGAGCAACTTACCAATCGAATTGTTTGGAGGAGTGGGGAGCTATCGGCAATTGTTACTCTTTTCAAAACTCCATGGGCAGTTATATTTCGAGCCATGGGCAACTGTCTGATGGCCTATGATTAAAGATGTCACGCGCCTTAATAAAAAAATTATTTTCAGGGATGTGGCGACCACAGGGTGCAGGGGGGTGCGCACCCCCCCACTTTTAGAAAATTATCGCTTTTCCCCAGCAAAAATCTGTGTTTTTACTGAAAAAAAAAGATCATAAGATGGAAAAATAGGGTTCTGCACCCCACCACTTTTTAAAATTTTGTAAATGCATCCTCTCACGTTCAAAAATTTTCTGAATACACCCTTAACTTTTGAAAAAAATTNGCGAGCTTAGATGGCGATTAACAATGTTTTTGGAAAAAAAAGTTCATTTCTTTCAATTACATGATGATATTTTGTATAAATATGCTATAAGACTATTCATTTAAAGTCGTTACAGCTCAGTCAAATGAAATGAAAATTTTCAATTTAAACTGAAACTTCCATATATCTTGCTATAATGTAAGTTTCAGCTCTTTGTCATATTAAATTGCTAAATTATGACAATTCGAAGGTCAAAAAATAGATGAATGTGTTACTTATGGACAGGCTGATAAACTATTTTCTTGTGCTCTGAAAAGAAAAACTTTGCTTTTGACCAACTCTTATTCGAAACTATTCAATGGAAATCAGAAAAAAATGTTCTTTAAGTTCATCTGAACCTAAAGAAATTCACCAGTATTAACTCAATTTATTTGAATTTCATTTAAATAAAATTCTATGATCGAAAAAAGATACATAAATAAATAAATATCTAACTTACTTCTGCTCGTTCATAAGCTGGTTGATTTTTAGTTCCTGGTATAATAACATAAGGAACTCGATCACCTAAATTAGGTGCACTACCAGGATCACGTTTACGCATTTTATTAGCTAATTCAACATGTGGTTGTTTATTAGCATATTCTGCATCAGTTTTTGTTAATTCTTTACTAATAACTAATTGTGATATATCAATTCGATTACATAATAAATCAGAAATAACACTTTTAACATATTCAACAGCACCATTCGGATCTCTAATAAACAAAAAACAAAAAATAAAAGAAATCGATTATAAAAGTTTTTAAAAAATTCAAACCTTTCAATAAGTAATTTTTCTAAACATGTACTTATTAAACTAGCAACAAGTTCACAATTATCACGTCGTACAGTTTCAATACCTTTACAATCCATTTTATCATGTTTATCTGGACGTGTAAAATAAAGACCAGCATAACGTTTTTTATTAATTAATAAATATGGATAATAACATTTTTCAAATTCAAGTTTAATTGGTGGTGGAAAACTTGATGAAATAGTTGTTGCTGCTAAACGACCAAGTTTCATAGCTTCCTCTAATGTTTTAACACCAAATTTAATCATAACTGAATCTGTATCACCATATATAACTTTTGCATCATGTTCATAACCTTTAGTTATTATAAATTCATTTTCAATTAAAGTTTTGGTTTTTTCAATCATTTCACGACCAAATGATGTTACTGATTGAGATATTTCAAGACATGGTAATTTACCAACTTGTGCACCTGTAAAACCATATACGGAATTAGCAGATATTTTTAATGCATTTTGACGACCATCAAGAACTTTTTTACGAAATTCATCAGTTTCTTCTTTCATCATCTGCACATAACAAAAACAAAAAAAAAAAAAAGAATTAAAATGAATTTTTTTTCATCGNTAACTATTATTTGATATTGTTGCTTATCCAGTGTAAAATTTTCTCATTAAGATCGGATTATTTTGCAGCACAATCGAAATTATTAATCGATTTATAATCTTGATTTTGCTACAGAATAATCCGATTTTAATCGGAAAATTTTACACTGGATAAGCAACAATATCAAATAATAGTTAAGTCATGATCAACAATAATCAAAATTATCAATCGATTTTAATTTTGATTTTGTTGCACAAAAATCGGATTGAAAATCACGAAAATTTTTCACTGGGCGACATTGGGATGAATACAAGACAGGTCGACGTCACCATCCATTTCTTGTTCAAATCGAACGACAAAGCAATGGAATATTTAAATTTTCATCACCAGTGATTGATCTACTTTTCAATGTAGATAGTGATTCTCCAATACGGCCTTTCGGTAGTGCTAAAGCTCAGTGATCATTTAGTGCAACTGGTAATTCTTTTGCATATACTCGGCAATATGATGAAAATAGTACAGTAGCTTGGACGACCAACTCGGATATATTTACAGTTGATTTGAGTGTCCTGACATTCGAAAGTAAGTGTATTATATGCAGCAACTTGGCAACCGATACTGATCCGTCTTACTCACCAATGGATGATAAGATATTGATATATCGATCACATTCAGTTCCATGATACGAGTCTGATCAATTCAAAGTTAAAATATACAATGGTCAGTCATGTCATCTTTATGTTGACTCAACTTACATCCGTCTTCTTTCATATTTTAGGATCGAATGCGCCAATTACTCTTCTCGATAGTAAAGATCTAAGTATTCAAGCTGCGACATGGTCGCTCGGTGATCAATTTCTTTATCTTGAAGTTGACGAAGAAGTCCGAAATGTTATCTATTATTTATTCGATATATTTACGAGTCAATCACTAGTTCGTCTAGTTAACAATGGTACTTCGCGCAATATCAATATTCATCCTATCAACGATCAAGTATTTGTCTTCACACATGAAAGTATCCTCGAGCCACCGAATATATATTTGTATTCATCAGATGGTTCAAGTCGATCTGTTACTGTTCATAATACTGTTCTATTGTCTAAAGTAAAAATGAGTACTGTAGCTGAAACATTTTCATTTGTGGGTGCTCGAAATGAAACAGTTTGGGGATAGTATGTGCCACCGGCAAATGGTACAAGCAATCGGGTTCCACTTGCTTTTCTCATTCATGGTGGTCCGCAAAGTAGTTGGTACGATGCATGAAGCTATAGATGGAATATTCGATCCTTCATTTCTCAAGGCTTCGCTGTTATTGCTGTCAATTTTCATGGTTCTGACTCGTATGGACAAAATTTTACAAACAGTATTATAGGTGAATATGGATCTTTGCCTTATGAAGATCTCAAATTGGGACTTGATTATGCTCTAAGAAACTTTCCTTATATTGATGGAAACCGAGCTGTCACATTAGGTGCTAGCTATGGTGCATATATGATCAATTAGATTGGTGGACACCCAGAAATGAGTAGTCGTTTTAAAGCACTCGTCTGTCATAATGGTGTGTGTGATACGAGAGCTAAGAGTTATTCCTCGGAAGAACTATGGTTCACCGAACATGATGCAGGAGGCAAACCTCAATATGAAGATCTCGATGCCTATGAACTCTACAATTCAGTCAATCACGTTACAAATAGTTCATCCTAAAATTACAAAGTCATGCAAGTCATTAAAAATTAAAGAAAGTATTAGTTTGAATGCCGTATAGTTGTTAAGAATAGAGAAGTTACAATCTGTTTAGGACGAATATGAATCCTCGACACAAAATAAAATAAGAACTACAAGTCAAAGAAACAAAAATAATGTTGATTTACTCATTCCCATTCCATTGAATTTGAAATATTATCTCGTTCAGCTGACGTGAAGTGTCTTAAAAGGAAACAATCTCTTTTTTGACAATAGATACTGATCATTTTCAATATCCATAAAAAAGACACCTACTGGTAAAATTTGAGCAAGTCCTACGACTCATTTTTTTTTCGATGATGACTAAACAATATTTTATCAATACTAACATTAATAGTAAGTTCGCTAAATGAACTATGTGTTCGTTTGAATAGTTTAACATAAGCATTTAATATTGTATGTGATTTTGAAATAGTGACACGTCTAAAGAAAAGAAAATTCTCTTAATTAAAATAAGTTAAATGCGATATATAAATAGATATTGACTACTTTAAATAGTACTGTTATTATTTATTACGTCAAGTATCTGGTTTTATTGTTTTTTTCTCTTTATAATAAGTATAGACTTGGCTAATTCAAGTTGAAATAATCCTCTACTAATTAATAAATAGTTACTAATAGCTGATTAATTATTTAAATCGAAAATGTATTCTAGAAAAAATTATTTCTTTTGAAAATCTATGATTCTATAATGACTGTATTCTTCCATTTAGTCAGAGAACCCGCCGAAAAGACACAAACACCTTGAATTTCACTAATCTGTAAGGAAAAAATTCAGTGCTTGATTATAGACACTACACAACTGCTATTCAATCAAATTTGTTTATTGCGTCAAGACCAATAAAGAAAATTCCTCGAAGGAAACTGTTCAAGTGGAGAATAGCTGACTTTCTCCATGAATGATAATAAATGCTTGAGGCTGCTATGGTTGAAGTAGACTTGTCTGTTTTCAAGTCCTCTGATTTCCATCAATTCGTTCGTCACTGAGGAGACTTCTGTTGCTTGTTTAGTTTCAAGTATCTCACAGTATCAATAGAGAATATTGATCGTATGGGTGTGGGTGTGGGTGTGAGTGTGGGTGTGGATGTGGGTGTGGGTGTGGATGTGGGTGTGGGTGTGTGGGTTTGGGTGTGGGTGTGGGTGTGAGTGTGGATGTGGGTACGGGTGTGGGTGCGGGTGTGGGTGTGGGTGAGAATGTGGGTATGGGTGTCAGTGGGATCTAGATGTGAGGCTTCTTTTCAGCTACACCCATACCCATACCCACAACCATACCCACACGCATACCCATACCCACACCCATACCCACAACCATACCCACACCCATACCCACAACCATACCCACACGCATACCCATACCCACACCCATACCCACAACCATACCCACACCCATACCCACAACCATACCCACACGCATACCCATGCCCACACCCATACCCACAACCATACCCACACCCATACCCACACCCCACACCCCACACCCACACCCACACCCACACCCACACCCACCCTCATTATTTTATATGCCTTTACTTTTTTTGTTTTTAATATTTCTTACTGTTCTCTATTTATTTGTGCTTTTTTTCTAATGCAGAGCCCTGAAGAGTGTTTTATAATTTAAATAACATACGCGACACGCGTCGGCGTTAATTAAAACTGCATTATTATTTTATTCTATTAAATTTTATTCAAGCACGATATCAAATATATTTTAAAATTTCATTTCTACTTAATCGATTGCTGAAAAGCAAAAGCTGAGAGTAGCAGATTAATTTATGTTATTTCAAGATATAGATTTATCTGTTTTCAATTGATTTATTTACCCACACCCATGATGTCTCTCATCGTACACAATAAACCCACGGTTTTGAAAGTATGAAGGCCTATCTTCTCCTTTCATTAGAGCCCATCAGATCGAAAATTATTGGACTCGCATCCGATGGAACTCGACTCGAATATTCTCAATAAAAATTTTCAAAACCCTTCCTGTAACAGAAGATCTTGTTGCTTGAATAATAACCAAACATAAGAGTGATCCACAATTGAATATCATTTTTCTTCACTTTTTAATTCAAAAACCTTTCAGAAAATTAAAACGGCTTTAAGGATTTCAGGCTATATTTTATGGCTTTGAAAGTTCAGAAGTACCGTATGAATGTTCGAAAAAAGTTAATCAATATACGACTGCTGATATTCCATCAATTTGATAATTCCGTCAAGCAAATTATTAATTATGACGGGTCATCTGTTGTGAGAAAAAAATTAATTGACACCGGACAGTTATTGTAAAGATATCATATGATATTTCCGAACTCAGTTAATGAAAGATTTTCCAATATGCATTCACATCTACACTCTAACTACTATTTTATTGAAAAAAAAATTAAATTAACATAAACTGTTCCGGATAATTCGATGAATAATTATCTAACCATAATGGAATAGGAGTATTTCTCTGTGCTTGTTTCTGTTTCCATACATATTGTATCCGTCGTTTGATTAGTTTTTGTTTTGCTTCTGGAATTATAAATTTGGTATGATTCGTGTCTAGATCTAATCCTATATAATTTCTCATCCCATGTGCTCTTCCTTGATTATGATATGGTCCTAATTTTAATTGTCGACTATTAAATAAGCCAGTAGCCAGACTAAATGTACTTAATGCACTAACTAAAATATCATCACGTACTAAACGATTAAATGTTTCTGATGTTCGACCATTTAAGAAAAACGAGACACGACAGCGTGATTTAGGTACAGCTTTTTGTAAGTCAATAAGTATTTCTTGAAAATCATCTATTACACCTTCACTATAAAATGTGATTAAATATTTGTTGCGTAATGGACTAGGTAATGAATTAATAATAGAAACTAATAATGGTGCATAAGCTGAATTTGCAATGTAACGAAATAGAATAATCGATATGATACGACCTTGATTATCTCGTTTTATAATATCGCCACGACGTATATGTACTCCGATCAATAAAACATCATGCACATTAATTGAAGGACATTGAATTGGTCGAAGAAAACTGTCTCTACTATTTTCATTTGATTTGGAAGCAATCATATCCTTGTTTGTTTGAACCATATTTGATGTTATATATTGAAAATAATCAGTTGGTTGGTAATTAGACAAAACATGAACACCTGACCAAACACCATGATGTGCATTGTATAATTTTCTATGTTGTAGCCACCAACGAATTTCAAAAACGATACCTATTTCCATTAGTGATGATGTTATAGTAAAGGTTCGACTAGAATAAAATGTAAAGCCGGTATTTTCTTCTGGAAGATTAGCTATGAAATCATCGAATTCTGTTTGAAGATGAGATTTGATTGTAAATGGTTGTTTACCATGATGATATTCATGCAATGTTTGATTTTTTAGAAAATTATATTTAAATATATACCGTTTAATAGATGAGTTGTCTGGACACTGACGATAAGCTGATAAAGGAATATGCCAATGGAAAAATTGCCAATATTTTTCTCTATCGGTATTTGTTTCATCTTTATCATGTGCTGCAGTCCAATCGGAATATACGAGTGTTAAATTCAACCTATGTGCTACATTAAGAATACCTAAATACCAGAATAATTTCGATCCAGTACCATCAGAAGGATAAGAAATAGGTGCATTATTGATTAATAAATACCGACCATGTTCACAATCAATTATTGGATGATATGTTAATAAGAATGAAAGTTCATTCTTTATTTTAGGAAAATAACGATTGAGTGCTTGTTCTATATCAGGAAGACAAGGTGTATTGTCTAACATACATTCATCCAATAAATCGAGAGAAGATGAATATGCAATACATATTTGTTTAATTTTAATAAAGAAATAACAACACAATACACAGTTTAAAATAAATGGAAGTATGCAGCAAATAAGAAATCTTCGTTTCAATATAATTTTTGAACAACACCGTAACAAATGTTGCAAAAAGTAGACACACATATCTAAAATTATTATGTAAAAACGACAGAATAAATATTTACATAACATCATTTATTATATTGCTGAACTATTTCAACAACTAAGGCAGGATCTTAGAGTGTTGGTGTTACAGTTAGAAAAATAAATGCTCAAAGCTATACACTTTTTCTGTGTAAGTATCATTTTCGAAATTTGCGTAAGAGACGTGTGATAAAAGTAAATCATTTCATTCTTGAGAATCTTTTTTCATTACGTACGTTTGCTGTGAGTCGAACAAACTAGAGTTATCTTCACTCGGCTTACGAATTTTGGTGTTGCATGTTATTTCTCATCAGTCTTTAGATAAAAACAGTAGAATACACTATTTTAACATGAGAATCCAAGTTTAGTAACCTCAATCTTGAAAGGATGAGTCTATTCAATGTAAAATGCTGGTCAGTTTTTCTTGAATCTGATCGGTCGAAAAAATTGACCGATGAAAGGCGACTTTAACGATTTGACTAAACTGGGATAGATGTAGGTTTGTAAAAGAAGACTTTCTATCTAATGGCATCTGTATAATCAAATTCTGTTGTGTACCGTGATTATCGATAGACAGTGGCGTAGCCAGGGGCTGGCAAATGGGCAATTGCCCAATGAATTTAGAGACTTGCCCATTGTAATTTTTATTAGCAAGCTTTTGCCCATTGAAATTTTACTTTTTCAGAATTGTTTGTTTATTTTTTAATGAGTTAGTACCTGTATTTTTTTTTCTTCTGCCTGAATTACACATTCACTCTTTTTTTGTTCTTTCTTTTAAGAATTAAACAGAACAACAAAATGACAATCGCACAATTGTATATATACATATTTGTTCTTTTCTTTTTTCTTTCAATTTTGTTTATAATATTGGTACGAACGAATGAACAAGACGGTAAACTGGACGAGATAGGTTATAGTTCATCTTCTTCTCTACCAGTATTATCAGAAAAGATAAAAGAAAAAAGAAAAGAACAAATATGTATATATACAATTGTGCACTTATCATTCTATTGTTCTGTTTTAAAAAATACTAATACTAAGCTATATCGAATGAGAAGCGACCCAATACGTTATTAAACTACAATTTTTCTTTCAAAAACATACGTACTGATACTGAAAATTTACCACAAGATTCGAATACACTTGCAATTAGTACAATTACAGCTAAAACAAATAATGATGATTCTAGTTTATTTTTATCCAGTGATCCTGAAGATTTAGGTTAGGTGAGTGATGAAGTTAATTTTAATGTCGAAAGTAATGAATTGAAAGTGATTAATTCTCGACATGGCACCAATATAAATGATATCGGTTATTATGTATTAAATAAATTATCAATTGATGATCATTTGAAATAATCTCTATTAACAAATCATTTAAAACCTGATAGAAAATATTCGTTTCCAACGTTATATTCGGATGATCGTAAACATTTTCGTCGATTTTTGATCAATTGGTTAAACGACCATTCATTTCTTGTTTATTCACCGTATATTGAAGGTGGTTATTGCATAAATTGTGTATTATTTCGTAACGTACAAGGTCAAAAATTCAAATTATTTGTTGATAAACCTTGCCATCAATACAAGCACTTGAAACATTTTACTACATCATGGAAAATTCATAATAAGTCACAACAATTTCATCAGAATTCAACAATTGCTGCCGATAATTTTATACGTACATATAAAGATCCATCGTTATCAATTTTATCGTTAATTGATAAAAACAGAATTGAGAAAATCAATCTTAATAAAGCAATATTAGCATCAATTATAAAAATAATAATTACTTGTTCACATCAAAATATTCCTCTCCGTGGCCACAGAGACGAAACTATAGATGATATAAGGCAAAGAATAAATGTAATTGATTCTCATTCTGGTTCAAATTTTATTGCATTATTAAAACAACATGTCGATGCGGGCGATGAAATTCTTCATGAACATATTGAACATGGATAAAAAAATGCGTTATACACAAGTCCAATGAATTCAAAATGAAATTATTGACTGCATACTCAAATATATTTTGAACGAAATTTTGCATAGAGTAAAAAATTATTTATTTTCTATGATTGCCGATGAAACAACAGATACATCAACAGTCGAACAATTAAATCTTTCGTTGCGATATTATGATCAAAATAAATGCGGAAACTTCGGCTTTAAATCCGAGAGTTATGTGTACTTCAAAAAGTGAATCAGACGAATTAGCCATCCTAGAATGTGTAAACATCAAAATTATACTGGGGAACCTATCCTCTAAACTGTTGATTTCTATTGGGTATTGCCAAACCAATAGGACTTGGGACTGAATATAGCTCAAATTTGAACTCTTCCCCTTGATTTATCCTAAGAAAGTTGTTTTTCCTATAACTTGATTTCTATTAGTTACTGCTCAACCAATAGTATTTCGATGGAAGCGGAATACAGATTCGAGTTCTCCGTCTCAGAAAACCTCGAAGTATTATCTTTGCGATCGGAAGATAGAGCTCTATTCGTGGATCAATTAGATCGTGGACAAAAATATAAGCTAGTTCTCTTTAATTATCTTTGCCATAGGTTAGTCAACCTTCTTGTTTCTTTATGTTTTATATACCATTTTGTAGCTCTTGAAATTCTCTATCAAATGGTATATAATAGTTGGGGTTTTAGTTGACTATGATAGGAAAAGTCTTTTACGAAAGTGGGGATGGGTAGATCTTTTCATAGGGAAGCTATAGGGAAAAATGGGTATTTTTGCAATGAACTCAGGAACGGCTTGGCCGATCCTTCTCATCTTCGAACTCGACCGAGATATTGTAAAGACTGAACTGTACAGAAAATTTCATCGTGATCGGACTCTCCTTTCGAAAGTTATCGTGTAAACGGCCGGACGGACGGACATACTGACCGATTCTAGAGTGTACTCACTTTTTGAGTACACAAAAACGATATCATGACTATTAAGCGAGACTCAGGCTTCTTTAAACAATAAGAGTTTTAGGAAGAGACAGTGTTATTTTCACAACTCTTTGATTTACAAATTTTCTAAAAGAGCTTGGTCATTCCTGACGGATATCTGTAAGACTCTAGATTCTTAGCTCATGTTGTGGAAGATCTCGTGATAAAAACTTTCATAGAAGGTATTCAATACGGGGTATTTTTGTTGACACGGACATTCATTGTCTAGATGTTGATGCAAAAAATTTGAAAACTTAATGTAGTCGAGCAAAAGAAGTTTTGACTAATGTAAATTAGATTTTTTTACGACAGAAAAGAGAAAGTACCGAGAAAAATTAATGAAAAAGAATATTCGATTGATCTGTCACTATAATTGCTTTAGTTCAAAATTTATTTTCAGACTTTCTAAAGATCCGTTTACAACGTCGAAACTTTGAGTTGCATACAAAATTTGAATACAGATTTAGAGGGTGTAGGTGCGGGTGGTTCTTAACTTCAACTACACCCCATATCCACATCTATCCATAGTCAGACTCTTTCTATAAATGTGTCTTGGATATTATCGATTCAGAAAGAAATGCGCCTATTAATCTATATGAATTTTTTCAGAATATCGTTCTTTTACTTTTCGTCAATTGTTTTCTAATGTACCAAGTAGAGTAAATTCAATTGAATTTTAACCGTTCTTAATATAGCCAATATATTATCTTTTATGGGATTAGGTGAAGCTAATAATACCATGGAGAGAACATCAGTGGACACACTTTTATTTTTTGCATTTAGCTGTCCATCCATCTACAACAATTGCGAAAAACTTCGAGATAAGAACAATGATTCATGCGTGAAATTTCAAAAAAAAGAGGCGGCTTGTCCGGTTAACGGTCTTCTAATTTTGATCTGTTTCATGAAAGTCTTGCAATAACTCTAGAAAAAGTAATTTAAGATTTTAAGTACATGAATAAATAGATTAGACATTTCTCTATAAAATGAAAGATGTTTCGACTTGTGAAGTTAAATCATTATGAAAATACAGCCATTTTACGAATGGCTACAAAAATCGATTTTGGGACTATCTCAAAAGTATAGCAGTTTGTAGAGAATTTTTTGCTCTACAAGATGTGATACTTTTCAAAGTTCGAAATCATCACAGTTTATTTTTATTAGCTAAAGAAAACTACAAAAAACGGTAACGCACTCACCAAAAATGACAAAAAATGAGAATGTGTTACCATTTTTCGTAGTTTTCTTTAACAAATAGAAATAAATTGAGATGGTTTCCANAGACGGAAATAGGTTCTGTTTTCGCCCACGCTCTAGTGGATCCGAAAATGGAGCTCTACCTTCCGATCACGGGCATGATACTTCGAGGTTTCTTGGGGCGGAGAACCCGAATCTGTCATTTATTCGCCTTGAAATACCATTGATTGAGCAGGGGCCAATAGAAATCAAGTTATAGAAAAAACGACTTTCTTAGGGTAAATCAAGGCGAAGAGTTCAAATCTGAGCTGTATTCATCCCCAAATCCTATTGGTTGAGAGTAGCCAACAGAAATCAAGTATTTTATAGAAAAGGTTTGCCAGGATAATTTTGATGTCCACACATTCTAGGATGACTCATCTGTCTCTTTCGCTTTTTGAAGTACACATAACTCTCGGATTTAAATCCGAAGTTTTCGCATTTATTATTCTTCAATTTATATAAATAAAGATCTGCGGCAAGATCCCCCTAATAGACCGATAGTAAAACTATGTTTCTTAAATGTGCACTTGAAAAATTATTACATGAAAAAGATATTAAAAAATTTCAATATCAACAATTAAAACGAGCTTGTGAAACAGCATTAACATCAATTACAAAAGATATTCAAACATCTCACTAAGATCAAAAACAAAAAAAATCTTTTTGTTTTTCTTTCATTTATTTAATTTAAAATGTATGAATCATCTATTTTATCATCTACAGATCAACAATCAATTAATGCTGAAAAATATTTTCTTTCATTTGAATTAGTTTGTACATCAAATCATCCTCGAATAGTTGATACTTCACTTGATTGTCTTCAAGTAAACATTTTTGCTATCAATTCTATTTCATTTGATCATTTTCTTTTTTTGTTATTAAATAGAAACTTGTTTTACATGGACATTTACTGGGAAGTGTTGCTGATCCAATTGATCCATCAAAATTATTAATTGATCGAATTGTATCAACAATATGTATGCGCTTTCGTGGTGTACAAACAGAAGAACAAGTTGAATTACTAATAATCGAAGATTGTTTTCGATTTTATTGTTTAAAAAAAAAAGACATGTTGATTTTAAAGGCACTTTTAACTATAATGACATCTCAAGTAATTGAAATTCATCAACGTAGTGTTTTACAAATAATGAAAACATGTTTTAATATTTATTTAACAAGTCGTTCCAAAATTAATGAAGCAACAGCACAAGGATGTTTATTACAAATGTTAAATGGAATATTTTCAAAAATGAAACAAAATTTTGTTCTTAATGAATAAGAAAAAAAAAACATTCTTTTAGGTGTTATTAAATGAACGACGAAAACAATATCAAGAAGAATCAACAAATATAGGATCGAATAATATTGAACAAGAAAATGTATCAATAGATAAAATTATTATTTTTATGTTTTTTTTTATCAAAACAAAAAAAAAATATATTTTAGTAGTCAATGAAATTCTTGATGAATAGTAGAAAAAATATGTTATGGTAAGAAAAGACATTTTTTTTGTTTGATTAAATTTAATAAGTCTTTTTTTTATTTAGATGAAGCAACGCAAGAAAAAGAAGATATTACTTTATCAACTAATGAAATTATTGATGATATACAAGCAACACAAGAAGAATTTCATAGTGGCAGATCAAGAAATGTTTTAGGTATATTTAAAATTTTAATTAATAAATTAATTAAAAGCACTTTTCTCTCCCTTTTTACGATTCAATTATTTTGTGATCATTATATAGGGTTTGAGTCTATGATAAATTTTGCTCTACCTGCCTTGAAAATTTCAAATTTTTTTGATGAATCGTTCTCCGGAAATCTCGGAAAAGTGGAAGGAGTTGTGCTTAAGAGACTTTTTTATAAGGAAATCTTCATGTTAAAATTTTGTATTAAGGTTATTTCTTACTGATTGACATGATTATCATCACCTGTATCTTTATTTTGTTGATACAAGTCTTATGATAGAACTATATGTTTATCTAAATTATGATAAGTAGAATCGTAAAAAATGTATTTGTACAGAATCAAAACTATTTCGATTAAGAATGAACTTATAAAGATCATTGTTAAAATCAGTTAATGTATGAAAAATATATTGTAGACATTGGTTCTTTTAGATTATATGAATGTCCTAACGATAGAAGGATGTTCCTCATGCGTGTACTAAATGGGAAAATGTTTCCAACTGATCAATCATTTTCTCATAGAAACCTAGTAGATTATAGACTGTCAAATATATGCATGAGAAATCATCTTAGGTCTTCATATACCCGATTTTCAGATTAATAAAAATCTTGCTAAAATTGTTTTGGATCAGGTCAGATTATAGAGCATATCGAGTTATCTATAATATAATAATCTTTTCTCTTTTCCAATAATAACGACCTTCAAGTAAATTAGTATTATCTTGAGGATTTTTACATTAAAATGTTGATATGTCTCAAGTAAAGTAATCACGCTCGTAAATGACAATAAGTCATCATATATTACCATATTATATTGCTCAGTTATTACGATCGTATTTCTCACGTATGTGATACGCAGGAATACAATTGTTTACGAATGTCAATGTCATCGTATACAATATGGAGACATACGATCGTGATACTGAGTCATCCAACACATCAAAATACGAAATGTGTACAAATTTCGTATTCATTATTCTGAGAGTATCTGTTGTATGAATTACAATGACTGCATTTTCTTTGACAAAAAAACGCCGTTTGATCATAGAAAGGTTGAAAAGTGCTTTAGAAAATTGTGACTGCCAAGACACATTCTTTAATTGTATGGGTTAATAATAACATTCTAACAGAGATTATACACAAGTCAAGAGAAAAAAAAACTGCAGTATGACCGTGATCATCAATCATTTCAATCAATTAATCATTCAAATTTGTAGAAACTGTTGCTAAACATTCATTAAGTATACATTTCCAATATTTAGTAATTGTTGTTATTTTTATTCGATTTAAAAATCTAGTCATCAAATTAGAACGAAGATTTCCCTTGTTTGTGAATTAATAAATAACTGATGGTAATAGCTGACTTATATCTGGTGAAGATAAAAGCAGTTGCGACCATGACGATAGACTTTGTTTTTTTCTTTTTCGACTATTTTTGTTAATCTCTATCAGGTATTATTATTATTATTCATCAGTGTTACTACTGGTTACAGATACAAATCGATAGAATAATGAGAACAGTAATAGGAAACTATAGACATTGAAAGTTAACGTTTACAAGACACATCATGTTTTTTTTTTCGATACTTTTTTGTTTCGACATTTCTACATCACATTAAAAAACAAAAGCAAACGATTTCAAACCGAGAAAATTATTGTTTTCTATGCAATTTGATATGCTCTGTAATCTGGATAGATCAAAAAGAAAATTTTGTTTGTCTGAAAAGCTGCTTTTCTAGAAAATCAGAATATTTAAGACCTAAGAAACTTCTTCATTTTCATAGTCGGTATTAACATAATTGATAACATATTATCTAGTAGCTTTTGTTGAAAAAAAGAACAAAGTGATCGATCAATTGAAACAATTCCCTCGAGAGTTTTATATCAATCTTAACATTGCATGCATAATTTCAACTAAAAACTAAAGGGGTGGTCACAAAGTTTCGACCCCTCCCCTTAGTAAATCAAGAAGATCTATATCAAACTCATATGAAGGTATTGATCGAATTGTGTCATTTTGTAGAGAAAGAGAAAAGCTATCATCTAAAACAAAAGACAGTTTGAAAAACATATATTTATTATAAAGGTATGGTCATTTTACTAATTTCGAGTGAAAAAATTTTACGTTGCGTTTTTTGCAAAAGAACAAAAATATTCTTGCAATATTTGAATAACCAAAGTCGATTGAGATATGGATTTTTACATATCTTTAATAGATATTTTTATATGATTAGATAGAGTTCGACAAGCTCTACCGAAATACGGACATCCAATAAAAATTTTGATCCTCTTTTGAATACAAAACCTGAAAGCAATCAGACAGACTAATAAAAATCTGGCAAATCATGTATTGCAGAGTATTTGTGACTTTCAATAAGTTTGGGAGATCAACTGCTATGTCTATTATTTTATGTTTTGAGATGCTTTGTCACGTACTGTAGATGAAAATATCATTTCCGAGCTTCAGGAACAGACTAACTAATCGATTGACTAAAGTTATTGGAAATTAAGCTAGTGTCCTGTGGGAACGACTTTTTTCCCTAATTTTCCCATTCCCATTCCAACAAAGTTAAAAATTGATGTTCCCTAAATTTATTCTATCTTATTTTAATACAATAAGAATATTTCTATGTAATAGCTGTTTATTTTTGATAATTATTGTTATTCATATACCATTAACAGAAGAATAACGAATTTCTATCAACAAAACACAGACAGATTCATTTATTCTTAACTAAATCTTAATTCAATCATTACAACTATTATTTTCTTTTTCTTCATCAACTCCGAATGTGATATTGTCAAGATCATCTTGTGATACATCATTATCATCATCTTCTTTTTTTGAATACATTCGTTTTCTCATTGATGTAGTTGATGTGCTATTATTTTTTCGGTTTTTCATTTGTTCAATTGACGATGGAGATAACTATTATTTGTTAAAGATATTTCATTTATTTAATATAAACAGAATTGAGCAGAACTGATTTTTTTTATACTTGTAAAAAGACAAATCTCAGTAGGATGTTTAGCCAAATGTTTCTCCAATCATTATAGTACTTTTAATTTATTTAATAGTACGTAGCGAGTAGCTGATATATGGCAACAACAATTTCTCTCATAAATGTAAAGAGCTTTAGAAAATCTTAGGGAATGGGAATACGGGAATGGGAAGAATTTTTTCTTTCTTCGGGAATCGGAACGAAGATACGTTGTTCCCGCAGGACTCTAAATTAAACACACTCTCTTTAATACACGATATATAAGATTTTTACTAGTCTTCCTACTTGTCTCCAGGTTTTGTATCAGAAACAGGATCAGCGAAATTGTCGATATTCATATTCTTGTAGAGCTTGACGAACTCTATTCAACCGTATAATACAATCCAGAAAACTATTCCAAGTCAGGTGTTACAAGAATATTTTTGTTCTTTGCAAAAAAAAGCAACGTAAAAATTTTTTACTGGAAATTAGTAAAATGGCCAAAGCTTTATAATAAATAAATGTTTTTCATCCTATCTTTTTTTTCCCAGATGATAGCTCTTCTCTTTTTCTACAAAATGACACAATTCGATCAATACATTCGTATGAGTTTGAGATAGATATTCTTGATTTACTAAGGGGAGGGGTCGAAACTTTGTGACCACCTTTTAATAATTTTTGCTTTTTTCGCTTTCTTTTCATTTAAGAATATCAAAAATTGATTTCGTTTTGTAATTTTAAATATTTTCTCTCTTTTTTATTATCTAGATTCTCAATCAACTGGTGATCCATCGTCTATAAAGAGCACAATTGTCAAATTCGTTATCAACTGATGAATTATCAGCTGATAATTGTTTTAAAAATGCTTATTATGCCTTTCGTGCATTATATAAATTATCCGATCGAGATATAAAAGATAAAGCAAATACTGATCCAAATTATGTCAATATTCATATTTAACCGTTAAAATAGAGATTCTAGATATTCAGTATGATCATAAAGAGATATCCAGTCTTAATGGCATAAATGTATCATTTTTCTTAATTTATATGAGAAAACTTTTTTTCTCTCAAAAATAATTCTATTTATTTATTTCATATAACACTAAGAACCAATTAAATAAGATATTTGCAATTTTTTAATACTTATGCACTTTTCCTTTCACTATAACACTACCCTATGAATTCAGCTAAGTGTATTGTCAAGTCAATCTTATGGAGAATAAAAGGATCATCTCATCATTTTGTTAGTGGTCTAAGTTTACCAGTGAGGTGACTACTGAATACCCTTCCAGAATAGAACCAGAACTATCGCCAAGTATTCAGAATTGGAGTGAAGCCAGTAACTCCATCACAGGCGAAACGAAAATTTTAGCAATTGGAGGGGTGTTCAGCCGTTCTCTGATCTTACCTCGCGATAGTCCTTATAAAGACTCAAAGTAGCTAAGAACTTGTCACATAGTAGTCTTAATTTGGGAATATAGGGTGTGGGTGTGGGTGTGGGTGTCGGTGTGCGTGTCCGTGTGCATGTACGTGTGAATGTGGCTAAAAAGAAGATAAACACCCACACCCGAAAAGTCTCCACCCACCCAGATCTTAGCTAGCATATACACTGAAGGTCTGAAAATTTGTGTGCATATAATCCACCCAGAATGTAGGTCAGAGCTATGAGCTTGCTCTGATTGCTAAGATAATGCGAGAACTATGACGGATGGTGATGGATGGCACTTATTTTTTCCTTTGAATTTCAAATTTCGGAAAAGAAAAGGTATTACGGGTCAGTTGTTTCCTCATTATTCACGGCTTTACTCTAGCTACTTACGCTATTAATTTCATCGAAATCCATAAATCCTTACCAGAGCTGCGAGCACTTTAATGTGACTATTCGAAGTTCGAAAAACTCCCTTTTGTAGTTTGTAGAGCATAATTGAATAATTCTAAAATAAATCGAGCTCAAACTTTGAGAGAAGCTTCACTGGTAGCTGAATATTATTGCCTGAAAGTCTCACGAAAGAAGCATCTTCCAAAGAGAAATAGTGTACCATGTATTATCGTGTTGATGCCAAGGACTCAGAGATGTCTAAAGACAGTAATCTTGCACCGAATAGCATGGTCTTTTGAATGAAAAAAGATCTTACACTGTGCTTCAGTTATATAGTAAAATATCAAGAATTAATGATGTATTTGAGAAAAAGCAACGCAAAATTTAGTAAGCAGCTTTTTTCGGTCAAAAACCTTGTAGTAAAAAAGGTTCCATTCATTGTAATTCTTGCTTTATTTAAGCAATCCGGTTGAGCTCATGACTCTGATCTGCATTCTTGGTAGATTATATGTACACAAATGTTCAGACCTCCAGTATCTGTGATAACTGAGATCTGGGTGGGTAAAGACTTTTGTCCGCTACTGTAACAAACAAAAAACCGAAAAATGATTGTTAATTAAACTAATTATTGACTCTAATGACCTATTCTAGTGTTAGTCATCTTCATTTCAGAACTAAATCAGAAAGTAAGCATAAAAAAGAATCTAATGAAAGGTAACTAGGAGTTGATATTTCATATCATCACAATAGATAGAAGATTTAAAAAAATGATAATCGCGCGATGATGTTTATATCAATACAAACAATAAGAATAGAAGTCTCTCATTTATATCAAATCGGGACCGTCCAAAGGCATTTCTTGTATTTGTGCATTATAGAATTGTTCAATGTCACGTAAGATATGCCGATCATTATTGGTAACAACATTGATAGCCGCACCTTTTCGATCGAATCTACCACTACGTCCAATACTTAACTAAAAAAACAAAATTTGTTTCATTTCGAACTTGTTGATTCTTATCGATGAATATAGTTCTCACAATTATTCGATAGATCATAATTGATAACAAGACTAACTTGTGGAATACCAATATCACCCCCAAGTAAATCTGTTCGTATCAAGATTCGACTATAACCAGTTCGAAATTCTTTCATGCTAACATTGCGTTCTTTTTGATCCATGCTATCATGTTGTAACAAAAAGCTGAATTTGTATCTCGATATATGACTTTACAATTGATTGTTTCAAAACTATTATCTTGGCATTTAGCATAGCAGACACAGTGAAATCACGTGCATGTAGTTCTTCACCTAACCAATCGACCTTTTGGCTTGTATTACAAAAGATAATAGCTTGTGTGATCGGTAATATCTCGTCCAAGTCACATAAAGTGTCTAATTTCCGCTCCTAGAATGAGAATAATCATTCATCAATTCATCAGCATAAAATGAAAAATATGTGTATTTACTTCACATACGGCATTCACATAAAATTGACGAATGTCTTCAAGTGTCTGTTCTTCTCTTTTGAAAAGAATTTTCACAGGATTATTCATAAATTTAGTTGCGACTTCAAGTAAGGTAGCGGAAATGCAAAATTGCAGCAAAATTTTTTTTTCTTTTCTTTATATATGGTTAGATAGAGCTCGACGAGCTGATCAAGAATATGGGTGTTTAAATTTTTTTCGAGTGAGTTTTTAGGGAAAAACTCTCAGTTTTTTGGGATGACCTAATATGTCAAAAAAAAAAAAAAAAAAAAAAATTTTGAATAACCGACTAGGTTTTGATTTTTTTTCTTTGCTTCAAGTTTTAAAACTGTTTTTTTCGGATTCGCCATGAAAAACTGAATCTAAGAAAGTCATTTTAAAATGACTTTCTTAGATTCAGTTTTTCATGGCGAATCCGAAAAAAACAGTTTTAGAATTTGAAGCAAAGAAAAAAAATCAAAACCTAGTCGGTTATTCAAAATTTTTTTTTTTTTTTTTTTTTTTTTACATATTAGGTCATCCCAAAAAACTAAGAGTTTNAGCGCAAGAGAATAATTATTTCATAGACTGAGGTACACTTTGAAAAACATGTTTTCTCCAACATGCATAGAAAAATTATCAGTAGATTTTAATTCTGAACTTTTTTCTTATGAATGATAGCACTATGCGTCTTAAAATGACCGTCGAAGCGAAAAGAAAAAAAAATTCTCCTTTAATGGATGCTAACTGTGGTATTTTATAGATTAATCTTTGTGGACAAATCGCAGTTAGACGACTGACTAGGTGTTCATATTTTAAATTTTTCTCCAAGAATAAAACTTCATTTAAAAAACAAACGAAATAGTCTTGTAGAATCACGGATTCTCTATAGAAATGAATTTTTGAAAATAAATCGGAACAGTCCACAAAAGAAAATAATATTGTCCTATTTATTTTGCACCTGTCATCCTTTGACAATAATAGACATTTGATGATCTGTTCTCCAACACAACATCATTTATAAAAACATACTTTTTTCTTTTTACTTATAGAAATAAACAAAAAAAGTTACTCTTGGAACACGTTAAACTCATTAAGTAAAAAAATAAAATAAAAAACTCTAATTGTCATACGAGTCACTTAAAAATATTCATTTTTCAAGCAAAAATTTTATAAATAACATTGTATTAAAAATTAATAAAGAAATTTGCCACGCATCGACTCATACATAAGAAATCATGATTTACTCAAATTTTCATGCACTAAGGTTTTATATACTGGTTATAATTCTTTAGAAATATATTTAGTTCTGATATACATTTTGTTCTTCAACATAAACTGATGTAATTATATTTTGTTTTTTTACCTCAACCTCATACAGTTATAGGTGCTATTCAATTTTCTATAATCAACAGTGATCATCGTTACTTTCTTCATGCTTAAGAATGATCTCTTTTCTGAGATGTAGATTATTTCTTGACAATATGATATTCCAATGTGTTCATCTCTGACCCACAGAACAAGTATCAACGTGAAAATTTCTAAAAAAATGCACACTATCGAGCTCTAAATGTTTTCAACATAATATCTTTTAAAACAACAGAGATTTATTGTCAACTTATAAGGTTGTCCTCTTTTATGTATGAGTAATCAGTACAGAAACCCTGATGAACTGATATAAATAACTTTGTTACAAACGGAAAAAAATTGTTGGCCGCCTAACCTCTGAAGGGACGGTACGGATATATGGTTGTAGAAAGGAGATATGCTATCATAATTATTATTATTTCTTTTTAAAATTTGTATTCAGAGTAATCGAGCTTGATTTTTTGCATGACACCCTTTAGAAGAATCTATAAATATCTTATGTTCGTTTTAAAAGGTAAATGTTTTCATATCTTCATATCATTTCCTCTAGAGATTCGAAGCCCAAAAGCAGCTTTTCTATTTATAAAAGAGTTATTTATAATAGTTCAACAGGGATACAGCACTGATTACAGGTACATAAAAATGTTTCGTAAGATCGTTGAATATTGTTAAAGTATTATCAATATACTGATTCCTGCATGTAAGAAAATAGACTACTCTAGGAGACAATTGTGCAAGTGAACAATGAGTCTCTGCTGTTACGGTACTCAATTGTTTTGCGACACAGAGTTGAGTACACTCGAACATCATATAGTCAAGAAATGACATAGACCTAAGAATAGGGACTATTTTCAAATATCCAGAAAGTAACGATGAAAAGTGTTGATTAAAGAAAGATAAAAAGCACATATAACTCTATTGAAATGAGTTTAAAAACAAACTTTGCATAAGTTTTATCTTACAATGAAAGTATTTGTATTGTTAGTTAAGAAGAATTGATATATTCGGATCAAATAAAAGCTTTCACTGAGAAACTAACAAATTTTTAAATATAAATTGCCCATTGGTGTGCACAGATTGAGACATTCGAGTTTTAAGATATTTATAGTAAGTGTGAGGTGCTTGCAGCTTAAAATTTCACTAGATTTTTTTCAAAATTTTTCTAATGTTTGGCTAGACCTCATTGAATTACATAAAGAAAAGTACGTTTTCAATTAAAAAAGAGAATTCAAAGAGAAACTCAAGATAATATCATTTTCAAATAATTATAAGGAAAAATAGACCCGAAGCTTTAAATTTTGTAAAAAGCATCTTTTCTTTATTTTAAAGCTTATTTTTCTTATGCACCTCGATGAGCTATATCCAAAAATCACAAAAAGTTAGAAAAAATTCTGATGAAATTTTGAGTTGCAAGCGACTTATAGATACTGTGAATATCCTAAAATTAGAATATCTGAATCTGTACACACTAACAGCAGCCTATATTTTAAATTTCTTAGTTTTCTAATAAAAGCTTCATTTTGACCCGAGTATATGTTTAGTCTTTTTAACTAACAATACAAAAGCCTCCATTGTTAGAATATCTTAGGGCCAGAATGTCTTTGAGTCCATATATATTTCTAATGGGTTTTAATCAGTACATGAGCTTTTAGTACATGAAAATTTCAAGAAATCTTAATTTCTTATATGACATTCGATGCGTCACAAATCGCTCTAGAAAATCACATATATGGTATCCTGATTTAAGAGAGATCATCGCATTCGACACGGTCGGTTGAGTTTCTTTTTTTAGACATTAAGAATTATTATTTGTATTCAATGATGTTTTCTTTTTCTTAAGAAAAAACAATTTTATTTAATAAACTAATTTTATGCAGCATTAGTATGAACGCCTTCAACTTGTTCTAGATCTTCAAACATAGCTATAATTTGTTTTAATAATGCTTTATCACGTTCATTTAAGGGTACAGTCACTTTTGGAATAAATTCTGAACCATCAGAAGTTACATTATAACCACGTTGAGTTAAACTAGCTTTCATTTGACCGTAAAACGTTGGTGGACCAAGAAACTAAAATTAATTTTTTGTAATAAAATTTTTAATAATTTTAAATCAAAAACAAAAAGATAAAACTTACTTTCCATACTGTTCGTTCACCATCATCATCAATTGATTCAACAACTTCTTCAGCATTAATTTCAATTGCTAATTCGGTTGCTTTTTCTTCAGTGATATTTGATTTTTCGATACATGCATAACCACGTTGATCAAAATATTCCGCAATTTGTCCGCTTTTAGCTATTTCTGGAATACTTTTGATAAAATGGTCATAGTTTATTTATTTATTAAATGAAAAGAACCTACCCAATTTTAGCTGCATTTTTATTGAGATAATTGAAAGTACGTTTTGGATTATCGGTCATAACTTCAATAAGACAGAATGCTCGACCAGGACCAACAAATTCAAAGAGCGTTTGTTTTGTATTATCTTTTTGAGCAATCTAAAAACAAAAATTTATTTTGTTTTAATTAATCAATTGAATTTGAAAAACAAGACAAAATCTTACAGCTCGTTTAATAGCTCTATCAATTGTTTCTTTAGGCATATTATTTTTACGACATTCTTCAAGTGTTGCACGTAATACAGCATTGTATTGTGGGTCTACAACATTACCATTTTCTACAATAAATATATGAGAAATAGTTGAAACTTGAATATCATAATGAAAATGAATCTTTTGATGACTAAAACAGCATAGAGTCCTGCACGGGTATGACTTTTCGCAACCGGACGCAATAAGTTTGTACCCTCGTCTATGTTCCGAGTCTGGCTTGGTGGTGCCTGACCCAGTTGCAGGACACTAGAACAGAAGGCGCATATATTTATTTTTTTAGTTCTTCGGATGATCATTAACAAAAAACAATATCATCAATGTATGAAGATATCACTCAAAGTGATAAATAGATTTTGGGTTTAAACTGAACGTATAAGATAGGTCCTACTGGGATATGCACAACCTCAAACAGATAAACGTCATTAAGCCTTCTTTCTTGAATTACAATCATTTTACAGAAATTTTAGTTTATAGCATGGTCGATACCAATGAATCGAATGATAATGTTTCATCTACAGATAGAACTACGTGTAACTAGGATACTATGAAAATTTCATTTTAAGAAGAATGTTGTTCTCAAGAGATATTCAAGTTGTAAAAGAAATATGAGATTGTCTTATCTTTCATTTGATATTAGTAATTTTTGGAATGTGAACATTTCACAAAAAGAAAAAAAACTTTCTTTTGAAATGAAATTTATAGAGCATTCTAGTTACACGTAGCCGTATCTATCTTTGAGTAAAATATCAAACCCAAATATCATCACTCGATTTATGGATATATTTCATGCCGTGGTTAAAATCCCAGTTAAAATGGCTAGAGCTTCAAGGAGAAGGCGTAAAAGCACTTATCGACTTGGGAAATTTTTCATATTTCCCTTTTTACATAAAGTTTGAACTCGAAAATTATTTATCATTTGAAACGACTTCCTCGTTAAATAAATTTTAAAAAAGTCCGAATGTACATTTTATTAGCTTAAAAACCGAAGATTAACGTTTTTCGTAATGTATGAATTACAGTCCTTACAGAAAGATGCAGCTTATTGATAATATTTTTTTGCTTTATTCTTAATTAGAAGCTTTTCTAATGTTGTATTGAAATTTCCTTCGCTTGTTTTTCTTTAAACTTCATTAGATACTTTCAGACTTCAGTACATACGTCGAATAACTGTAACAATTTTAGATGATAATTTTCCTATCACTCGTCCTTTGATTTGATCATTAGCGGCTTTCGTCTTTGCAATATTTTGCCAATGAGCATGACCAGCATATCGTCGAGCATCACCTATATATAACGAAATATAATTTTTTGTATTGATAACGCATACTTTGTTTTATGTTTTTTTGACGTACAATTAATAGATTCTACGGATAATAAAGATCTTGCTGTAAAATAACTCAATTTTGACGTCAACGAACAATATCGGACTAGATTAGTGACACTCATTATGATCAAAAATCTGAAAGATTGAATAAATAATTTTGAGTATATTTTGGAGAAGAGAAAAAGAAAACTTTTAAACACATCGAGTTTTTGGTTAGAATAGGCGATATAACAACAAACAACAATAACGAACAACAGAGAAAAATCAAGGCGCAACTAGAATTGTGAGAAAAACAACAGATCATACAAAAAAATTTATATGCGAGTGCACATTGAGAAGAAATTGAAAAAATCTGAGGTAATAAATAAATCAGATACGACGTGTCCGGTTTAGTTTTTCTTTTTTCTTATTTTGGAATGAAAAAAAGTACTATAAAACACAGACAACGAAGATGATACATGCGCAAACCACAATTATATGCATATATAGATATAGATAAATAAAGAAAACGAGATTAAAAGTCAATATCATTTGTAATTTCTTTGAGTTGGAATAATTTTATTTAAAACTTTATTTTCCACTTGTTTGCTGTTGTTGTTGTTGTTTTAATTGAAGTAAAATACTTCTATAACGTGTTAAATCTTTTTGTGAACGATTATTTTTCGGATTAAATTCACATAAACTTGTTATTTTATCCCAATCGTTAAATTTCCCATTTGATGTTGTTAATGAATCATTATCATTATTAAATATATCATCTTCTAATGTACGATTATTTAAACGATTTTGTCCTTTAACACGTTCCATTTGTTCAAGACGTTGTTTATAAAAATCATCTAATTCTTTTTTTGCTTGTTCACGCATTTCTTTACATTTTATTTCTTCTTCAGCATCTTTTTTAGTAATACGTGCAGAAAATTCTTCTCTCCATTTTTGAATTTTTTCCGGTTCATTAAATTGTGATAATGCTTCATATGGAGATTCATTTGTATTTGACAACATTTGTAAATTATTACTACCAAAACTTGGTGAATGTGCACCTAGAAAAATCAAACACAATTAATTACAATGATAGCAAAAATTTATGATACATACCGTTTGTTAAATGACTAGCATTTGTATTAAATGGATCGTCAAATGAATTAATATCATCATTACCTGTAATATCACCTAATTCTCGTTTTTCTCGTTGAAGAAATTCAGCAGCTGGATCTTCTTCGTCATTGAAATTATAAAAATTACTTGGTGTAGTATCATCAGTGAGTACATTATTAGTGTTAAATGGATCGTCGAACGACATGAGTTTTGCTTCTTATAAATGAATCAGCAAAAAAGAAACAAGTAAAAGTGATTAGGTTTGAAAGCGAATAATAGTAAGAGCAAGACAATAGTTAGGATTAATCGTTTGTTCTTTTTTGTTCTTCTTGACAATGCTTGATTTTATTATTTACTGTTACTTTTTTGTTTATTTCATCATTTACTTGATAAACAGTTAATTAAAATATTCTCCAATAGAATTTGATTTACTTTAGATGTCACTAGTAATTTATTACTGTATTTTTTTTTTCTTTAAAACAGTGTTTGTAATTACAAACAGGTGAATGAATTAGTTGTAAAATTGACAGAATATCATCTATTATTCACAAGAAATAATTTGTTTCATACTTGCAGAATAAAATAAAAATTTTGCTTCTTAATAAGTCGATGAATACATAGTTCGTTTACGACCATGCTTGTTTGATCTCGGCATGTAAACGGACTGTATACCATCATAATATTTAGTGCAGAAATACAGCCGTGTTGTGATGAGATTATGGCACATATACGATGCCCTAGTACTGTGTCCGGTTTTATGAGAAAATACAATTAGTTTACTGCAATAAAATTGCCGTTTTTTCACCGTTTACTGACGGAAGACCGACCAAAAAAGATATCCATTTTGGTCGATCTGGGTAATTTATTCTATTGTATTAGAATACTTCACTTTTTGTTTGTTTTATCCTTCAATTTCTCATTGATTTTATCATGAAAAAAGAATGTATTTTTCACATGAAGAAAATAAGCGAAAGTTGCGAATGCATTCATACTCGAAGAGTATATCAAAACTACCCTCTAGAACTTCTTAGCTACGTCAGGTCTACTATCAACGTATGTTATGAGTATATTAGTTTGAATTCATTTTTTATAAGTGTATCAGATAAGAAGTTCTAGAGGATAGATTTGACAAATCCTTGAAATATGAAATTCTCACTTTTCCCCCTTGAGTTTTTCATTTCGTATCGTTTATAATTGATAGGTATTGTTTGTCATATCAAAAAAAGGAGAGCTTTCCTATAAGTTGTTTTTAATACATCATTTAAAAGGCTGAATAAAGGTGGTTCTTTATCTTTGACAGTAATATGATTATTCTTTTGTAATGTATCGATATCGAGTGTGATGTAACGTCGTCATGAAATGATTAACAATAAAATGATGAATGAACACATGCACAAATGTTCTGTTAAATACTTACTTCATTTTACTTTAATTTGGATGTTCTTTGATAGTAGCACTGCAAAAAGATGATACTTTGGATACATGCTGCTTATGATAAAAGAAAATTTGCGAATATACTTTGCTAATATAAAACACTATGTACGAAATCACTTTATTTTGCATTCCTCTTAGCAGTATTAACTTTGAATGCAAGACTTACACCGTACAAGCATATATAAGAGTGCTCATTTAACTTGATAGAATGAGTAGAAAAACATGCACAATTATTGATATGTTCCATTGAACTGATGAAACATTTTATTTTGTTTGGAAAGATGGTCTAGAATTATCAATTTCGTCGTACTCTTTCATTTCGTACAATGGTAATTTTGTACTTTTTATATTCGATTAATTTATATCAAATCAATTCTTTTATATTGAATTATTGTAACAAAAATTTTATCATAAGAAATTTTTAATATATCGGATATTGGCTATGCAAGACCATTACAAAAAGTTGCTGAGACTTGTATTGGGTCTACGACAATTAGTCATAGTGCTGAAAAATAAAATCGGCTAAAAGAACTTTTTTAGTATTATGGAGAAATAACTTAGAGAGGTTCAGAAAATAACTAGTATTTTCATTTTTTAGGTGTTATCCTTATCCTCACGCGGTACTGTATGTGACTGAATCACATGTCTCCAAGTAGAGGTTTGTAAAAAACGAAATCAGAACTATGCATCTAACAAACATATGACCCATTCTTGCTTGCTACTTTGTATTTAATATGGATAAATTCTAGAATAGTTTTTCTCTAGGTTAGACCCAGCACTAGAGGTTGTTCAATCCAAAGTTTTCAGATTTGGTTAGCAGACAAATTTCAGACATGTATCAGATTGGATCCAATGGGCTCTGCCCGACACTATGAATAAAACTACTGAAAAAATAACTTATCGTAAACAAACCAGAATTAACACTAAAATACCATAAACCCATACATCTCTAATCGGATACTGTAAATAAACAATTATTCATTTTGGAAACCAACTCATGGTATTTTTGCCTTTAATTAGACAAAACATAAAGTTTATTTCACTAAGTTCTATTAAAAAAAAAAACTGTTTATAACTAAGTCAAACTATGCCAAAAGAACCAATCTATTCTGAGCAGTACAGGAAAAAACAAAAAACTTTTCATGAAACTAAAATGGTTAATCCATGTACATCTCTTTCTAAATTGTTCACATAATCTACTAATGATTTATATTTAAGAAGTATATTTCGTAGATTGTCATATTCACTAATTTTTGCATGAAGAATCGTATATAAATGACCATAAAGATGAGCATCAGCTTTTGTAAAACTAAAAGAAAACAAAACAATTATTACATGAAAATCGATGTACATTTTTATTTAGATACATACTTATTACCAAGTAAATAATCTGAATTATTTTCTTGAATTTTATTTGAAAGAGCTCGAACAGTTGTTTCAAATTTCATTATAGCCTAAAATTAAATTATTTTATTTCGTAGTTTTTGTATTCGATTAATTATACTTCTTCATAAGTCAACGGCCAAGTTTCTTTTACTTTTAAATGTTTCATTGTACGCTTTCGATACATTAAAAAAAGTATCAAACCAAGAGGCCATGGATAAACAGACGTAAATGATTGATATACAGTCTAATAGTATAAAAACAAAATGATAGAATAAAATTATATTTCAATCTTTTTATTTATACTTACCGGTCCAGCTTTTTCACATAATAAAAAATATTTCTAAAAATAACTAATAATTTGTATTTAATCAAATACAACAAAATAAATCATATTACAAACCATTAAACTTCCGAATGTTTCAGCACATAAAATAGAATAACTATCGACTATTGAATTTTCTTCATTTTCTACTTTAAGTAATTCCTATTGATTGAGGCATAATAGTAAAATCAAATTTTATCTTTAAATTTAATCAAATTTACTTTAAGTTCAATTACATTAGCTATTTCATCAAATTCACTAAATATGCGGTTATTTAATATTAACACGGGTGGAATACCTTAATAATAATAAAAATTAAAATATAAAGTAAACCTTTTCCCGGAATAGAAGGTTATGAGTTTTCTAAAAGCTGGTATCGGAAATTCACTGTGTTTTTTTGGGAGAGGTTTGAGCATCTAAAAACTTGGTCTTCAGGGATTTATAGTAGAAGAGTATGCCTTGAAAACCAGCGGAGTATAGGGTGACCGGCCTAGTCCAGATCATGAGTGGATGCGGGTCCGAGTATGAGATCATATCCGGACTCGACTCAACAATTAATGAGGTCTCGACGTTTCAAAATATTTTTACTTTTTTGAAACTACTAATTTCTATAAAAGGATACGTATGAAAATCAATTTGATCATAATTGAGCAATTTATTGTATTTGAGAACAGATCAAAGAGGTGGAAAATGATATTGTTTTACTAGAAGAATTCGTTTTTAATGAAAACTCATTTACAGATGATGATAAACCATCTCACAACATAACTGAATATCAATGGAGACAAAAATAAATTATCAAAAAGGTAAACATGTATTATTGTGATGAAAAAAGCAATCATACATGTGTTCTCAATTATGACATCTGACATCAACAGTGTTCAATCTCAGCATCATCAATAATAAGCGAATGTATATCTTGTGGAATTTCAGATGATCTCTTTTTTTTTTTTGGCTGCTGTTAATGGAAAAAACTGAGTAGTATATTTTTTCATATACAATAAAAGTTTGCTAACTCTATGAAAGTATTTGCCGTATGTCGATTAGCTCCGGTTGAGAAAATTCATATCCGTGTAGGACACTAGTCTAATAATTCAAGAACATTGAACATATTCATATCAAACAAAAGGTCTAACCGACTAATGAATAAAACAAAAATATGATGTGCTTACGATGTATACGAACTGAGATGTTTGAGTTTTGAGGCATTTACAATGTATGTCATGTACAAACAATGCAAAAGAATTTATTTTTCGCTTGTTGTCATAGTTGGATAGAGATTGTCGAGTTACATATGACAAATTATTTCAAATACAAAAAAAAAATATTTTAAGAGAAAAGTTCACGATACTATTATTGCCAAATACAGTGGTACATAGACCTAAAATTCTAACTTCTACAAAAGTTGTGTTTCTATATGTATAACAAACATTTTCTTATGCAACTCAACCAGCTCTATCCAACTATGACAAAAAGAAAAAAGAATCTGTCTGCAATGTCAAATCGTTGGCAATACGCGGTAAATACATCACAATTCGAATATTTCATTTCGTATACATCATAGCCAGCTTGATTGTTAAAAATGAGATATTCAATGTTCTTTAATTATATTACATGTCTGGCAATAGAGAGCCATGACTTTTCGTTTTTGAGAGGTAAAGTTCATGTATTTATTTACCACAATTCGACATTTCAGCAGCATTTCGGACATGTTCAATATGTAAAGACGGTACACGTACTTTACGTAATAAACATAATGTACTTAAACAGTCGGGTGCCCAAAGAATCATTTGTTCTTTAAGTGGTACATAAAGACAAGCATTTGTTGGCCATGGTTCACGAGCTAAAATAATTCATATATTAAACAAAAAATAAAATCTCTTTGAATATTTCTACCTGCTAATTCAATATTAACATTTGTTGTATTTGTATTAACATTCGATTGACTATACTCATTTGTTTCAGCCATAAAGCAAAAATCTTAAAAAAAAAAGAACTCAAAGGATAATTTATACAAAATGATTCTTGCTAGTTATTAGATTTCGAGGTGATCGTTCAAAAAAAAAAGAAAGCAATACAAAATATACAAGAAAATCGAAAAAAATATGTCAATAGTTTATTCTTCCGATGAGACAATCAATGACCAAGCTTTTTTAGTTGTTCCAAGTGCAATTTTTCCAACTCCATAAGCTATTGTCCCAATACCACAAGCAGTAGCTATAACAGCTGTTTTAGCCATTGTTGTAGCAGCAACAGTTGTTGTACTTGTAGCTGCAATTGTACCCATATGAGCTAAAGTTTTAACTAAACCAATAGAAAGTGCATGTTGAATAGGTTGAGAATTAAAAATTTTCGAAACTCGTCCTTCTTCATTTCTTATTGATGATTGTTGAGGTGATGCTACAACCATAACAACTTGATTTCCAACATGTGTTTCATATCTATCAATATCAACAATAACTGGTTCATCATAATCATCATCGTCGTCAATGATTTCTTCATCTTGATTTTCATCATTACGTGAAATACAAATTGTTCGTTCAATACGGTGAGAAAAATTGTCTGGTATTGATTCATTAATATTAATAAGATTAGTTTTTAATAAATCAATATCATGTTTTAATTGATGAAGAATATTTTTATCATTTATTTGAAGATTTTCAATTTGATTTTGTTTTTCTCTTATTTCATTTGTTATATTTGATGCTATGGAATCAATTTCATGCATACGATCTTTATAAGTTTTATCAACCAATGAATACATTTTCTTTTGCCATGTTTTTAATTGTATGATACCATCTAATTTAATACTATCAACATCAATACGATTAAGTTCATCTTCTAATTCTAAAATAGAAGTTTGTTCCATCTAAAACAACAATGAACAATAATATAAATACTATTATGTTACGAGTTAATATAGCTGGAATAAGGATAGAATTCATCTAGTCCCAAAATTTCTTCGCTCGGACTCGATGGACTTTAAATAAAGAAGAATAGGAAGAATTTATGAAATTTTTCTTTTTATTTATTACAGCGTTTTCTTATTTTTGTAAGTTTCTATGAATTGAACACTCTTGGATATGGACTTCATTTTACAGGAGAACCTTATAAAATGATAAATTACTATGGAAATAAATCTTGTCATTACACAAATATGCCCTATCGTGATTAGAGAAAAAGAAGGATTTGTGATCATAGATATTTCTTCTTCATTTATGACCATAATGGTGATTTTTAAATAAACTATTCAATATTTGAATATTGATATTTCAAGATAGATGATACTAGAAAATTTCATAGTTTTAAAATGAACTATTTTAAATTTGTACAATGTTTGCTTTAGTCTCAATAGAAGCATATCGTATGAGATAGAAGTTATTTTAAGAGTGATTCATCACTTGTCGAGATTGTTTTGTTAATTTAATTTTAATTTTTAACTTATTACAGAATATGATAAAATATTTTCTTCTTTGGTTAAGATAATTTTTTCATTTCGAATAATTGAAACTTTAAAATAATTAATCTAATTTCAGGATTAATTAATTCAAAATTGACATTGTTTTATTAAAATGAAAATCATTAGTAATTTTATTAATCAGTTTGAAATATTTTGTTAAATCAGAATAAAATGTAATATAATAGATATTTAACACGATCTTCATTTGCTTTCTACAGAATTTTTAACTAACATAAAACGATAACTATCAATTGTGAATTAATTATTTGTCACAAAATTTTTGTACATAAGTAATACTTTACCGATCATAAATTGTAATTAACGTAAAACCATTTCGATATTTATAAACTTGTTTATCATAAATATAATTTGATTGAAAAGTAAAACATTAATTATTCATCACAATAACTGGCTACTGTTTGTCACCGTAAAGATTCAAGATAATCATAACATTGTGCTAAACTATTGGAATTCTTGTTTTTTATGATGAAGAATTTTCATACTTAATATAGCAGAGAATAACAAAATTTTGTTACAAAATGCGTTCTGTAATTTTTCTAAGTATAATAAAGAAAATGTCGATTGGAAGATGAAGAGTGTTGAGAAAGTTTACCATAGTTTATTTCGTCATATGTTGTGTTGAATGGACAGAAGCACGTGTGTAGGAAATACTCAACGAACAGCTATGATTGGTAGAAATATAAACTAATCATGAAAAAGATAAATGGAGATGTACGAAAAAAATATTTATTCTTACTGGGTCATATGAATAATTACAGGTAATTAAAAATATGTTATTTTTGATAAAGATTATTTTTTTATTACACAATAGTTTGTTTTTCAAGAGAAACACCAATTGTGTTTTTGTTAGCGATGAGAAATAATTTATTTTAAAGAGGATATTATTTGAAATTTTGATAGAAGATATTTTATTAATTACTTTATTCTTTATTTTCAAAGCTAATGAATGAATGGAATATGATATTATCAACTAAAATACACATTAGAAATTATTTTCAGTTTCTATCAAAGATAACCATTTAAGTCTTCTCATTATTATATTGTTGACTAAAGAAAACAATTATGTTTCAAAATAATAATTTATATCATAAAGAATTTCTTTGTCTTTTATAGATTGTTGATTATAATTGAATATAATTTTCAATTTGAATACGAATTCGAATTGTCCGAAAATTAGTTTTTCTTGATTGATGATATCTTACTTATCACATACAAAACAATAGATTATTAATCATGTTTACGTTTATTATAAAAGAAAAAAATAATCTATATAAAATGAGTATAGTTTAATATGAGTATTAATATTTACTTATAATAGAAATAATAACGAAGAGTATATATATGCCGAAATTATGTTAAAAGTTAACTTATTGAGTTTAAAATGTAGAAACGCTAAATTTTTATGCACTCATCGAAAATAAATAATGGTGAGTTTAGGCCTTCACTGATCGAAGTTACACCAGTTGAATTCTGCTACAAGTCTTTTCACTAGACAGTGCACAATCATGTTAAGCCTGTTCACATCAAAATTCTGACTACAACACCATCCGTGAAATTCGTATAGCAAACTTTCAACCAGTTGGAAATTATCTTTTTTTGTTTATAGTGTATAAAAATTTTTGTTTCTACATTTTAAACTCAATTTTGATATAGATATCTATTTTGTAAATTAAATATAAGGATAAACGTATGTTGGATTATATTGCATGTGTTGATGATGATATTCATGTCTGTGTTGATGATGATATGCTTGTCTTTGTTGATGATGATATTGTTGTCTTTGCACATATGCAGCTGTATTTATTGGAACAGGTTGTTGATAAACAACTAAAGGTGGTGCTGTTAATTGAGTTGGATATTGTAAAAATCTATTTGAATGTTGTTGCCATAGATTTGCTGCCCATTGTTGATGTGCTTGTAAGTGTTCTCTACCATGTTGTTGTAAAGCTAACATTTGTTGCTGTGTTCTCCATGCTAATTCATCCAATGTTCCTGATGATTGTTGAATAATATATTCTTTGTCTAAATGATCAACAGAATTTCGTCGTTGAACATTAACTTCTATTGGTATACGTGATGAATCTGACTGAAAGTCAGCAGAATGACGACGTTGTCGTTGAGTATGCATAGCAGCTGTTTGAAATTCAGTTGTAGTCGGATTTTCGACAACACGTTCATAAATAACTTCACGTGGTGGTGCTGGTTTATAAGGTAGCCATTTTTCAATAATAATTGGTTGAGGTTTTGCAGGTAACTAGAACAAAAATCGCTTATTAAATATTAATTTGATTAAATAAAGTTTACTGGTGGATTATGTTCGACAATAACACGTGGTGCTGATGGGGGTTCAGGAGGTAACATTTTAGTTATAATTGTTGGTTCTTGTTGTGGAGGTGGTGGTGGTGGAGCTTCACGAAGAATAAGAGGTGGAGGAGTTGGTGGTGATGGTTCTTGATATTTGATTACGACTGGAGGAGGTGTTGGTGCACGTGGAGGAACAATTTCTAACAAGCGAAAATATAAATAAATAACTGATATTTTTGCTTTGTATATGAGAATAATTTTTACCTCGAATAATTAATGGTCCAGGCGGAGGAGGTGTTGGTGGAACAAGATATCGAACAGAAACATTTTGTTGATAAGTTATTTGATCTGAATTTGGTTTTGTAATCATTTGAGGATTTGGATCATTGTTTAAATCAGGACGAGTTTGCATAATTTGTTGATATTCCGCTAAAATACGTTTATCCTCATCACTTACTTGTTGTGCTGATACTACTTGATTGAATTCATTCGTTGGATATTGTTCACGAATAGTAACACGAGGTTTTGTTTGTGAATTTCCATTATTTTGACTATTAGGTTTTTTAAGAATTGATGTTATTGACGATGATGATGATGATCGTGCCAGTTGATTAGAAGAAGAATCATTTTTTGATTCTATTACATTTGATGAAGACTGATTTGATGTTGTATTCATTGTATTCATTTGATCATAGCCATAGCCGTAAGCTTGTTGAATATCATTTTGATAATAATTTTCATTCATTACTTGTTTCATTGGTAATATGTTACTTGAAACTGAATTATCAATAAGTAAATTCGATTTATAGTCACGATTTTGGGCATATTGCGTCGTTGCTTTATTTATATTATTTATGGTATTATGTTGATTCAATGATGCAGAACGTCGATAATATTTTTCAAGATACCATCTTTGAAAATAATCATTATTCACGTGCGAACGCCAAACATTAACAAGTGGTCCATGTGCGCCTCCCATTTTTAATACGATATCTAATAAAGCACTAACATTTTTTGTATTTGAATTTGATGGAGAACGTATAAATGGACTATTTACATTATAACCAATATTTTCAATGATTTTAGTTAAATTAAATATATGTCCATCGATTTGTTTCGATTGAATACTTATAGGAACAGCATAAGAATTTAATGAATTTTGACTATTTATATCAAGTATTTGATTAGAATGAAATTGACGTAATGAAGATGGTTCGATTTGAGTACGAATTGCTCGATATTGATCATCAATTGAATGACTCCGATAATGAGTTGTCTAAAAAAATATGAGAATAAAAAAGTCAAATATGTTTTTCTTAATCGAGGTAAAAAATTATTTTTGTAATATAAATTATTGATTTTAGAATTGATTTATGCATTTCTTGACATAAAGACTTTGAAAATTTCGATACACAACAAAATTCAAGAATTAAAAATAAAATATCACTTACTACATTTGTTTGTTTTCGTTCATTATTGTATTGTGATGCATTTTGAATGACTGTAAAATTATTATAATGTGGTTCTACATCAATTATATCGGTGTTTGGAAAGAAAACTTCATTTCTTTCCACAAGACTTTCATCATGAAATATTGTAGTTGCCATAAGAAAGAAATTTTAATTTATGTTTCCAATATGTATAATAATTCTTCTTTTATACTTTAATATGTACGAGGAAACACATGACTGATTTCTTTAACCTTGTTTTTTCGTGTTTTTTTAGTAATTTCGACCAGTAATTAAACATTAATGTCCTCGCAATTTATTTTCTTTTTCTCTTAATACACCTATGAATCATATATATACCAAATAGATTGCTCATGTAAATAATATGACGCAAGAAAAGATACATCAACGCTTTTCAAGGACGATGAGATATATTTAGATTTTTGTTTCAGATAATTTTTGAATCTCAGGACATCATGATGCTAACATGTACTGGACTGTATATACTACGTAATCATTTAATGAATTTATTAAATTTAACTGAAACGATAGAAAATACATCTGAAAATAATGATCTCATTGAATCTGAAATTATATCAAAAACAATTAATACAATAAGAGAACAAATACCAATAGCTATTCGTGATTTTTCATCACAATATGGTTCGAATGGTAGTGATAGTTATGTTGTATCAAATATATGTTCAAATCCTGAAATATATCCATTATATGGTGATTCAACACATGCACTTGTTTTTCGTACATATGGTCCATGGTGGATTAATATGCCATCATATAAAGAAACAATTACAAATTTTATACGTTGGGAAAATCATTTTACTAGTCGAGATTTTATTGATATTGAATTTAAAGATTATTTTTATGAATGTTTAAGTTTAAATATTTATGAAACATATAATTCAGGTACACTTGAAGTTGTTTATATTGGTAAAGAAGATGAATATGGAAATCTCACATGGCATCGTATTTGGACATTTCCTGAACCATTTAGTATTATATTGAGTAATAATAGTGAATTTTTTATTGAAAATGGTAAGAATATTTAAAATTAAGTATAAAAAAAATATTGTTCAAATATTCATTAGATCTTCTAATATTATAGAACAGTTATAAAATCTTTTCTTCTAATTAATTTTTATCAGATAACATTATAGTTTTCGTTTTATCAATTAATTAGTGGTAAATAAAATCCAGACAAATTTTATTCATATATTTACATCTTCAGAAAGGAAACATTGGCTTCATAATGGACTAATCTCACGTGACCTGAGGGAGAGCACAGCTTGTTATTGAAAAAGCCAGTAAAATTTCGATATCTTAAGAACGAAGGCCAGGAAAGCCAAATTATTATAGACTTTTGTTTATTACTTATCAAATGAATATTGTCTCAGTCGAAAAGTGATGCGACAACTGAAGAGGTTCTCCCGTAAGGTGAATTATTTGATGACTTTCATTTTTTTTTGCTTTTGAATGTAATTCATTCAAAAAAAGCAAATGCATAAAATATGCTGTTTACAATTTCGTACCACTCTTCAAACTAATGCAATATCAAAGATTAATATTAAACAATGAACTCTGTTTTTCTTAAATCTTAATGAAATTTCGAAAATTTGAACGCTAGTTTCACTTGTTGAAAAATTAAATTAAATTGTAAAGACAAGATTCTATGTTTCCTGCCAATCTTTGTTTTTTCCCTTGTATTCAAAAGAATATGAAGAGGAGCAAAATGTAAATTAATTTATGAAGTATTGATCGAATGCAATCAAGGAAACACAAAAAGTTATATTTAATTCTGACATAAAATTTTACCCTCTTCTAAATCGATTTTACATGAGGACTATTCCAATTGCATAGAATTTTTAGGATGTGTTGTTGTTTCTATAGTACAGAAGTTGTTTTAATATTTTCAGCTCAATATTATGATGTTTTAATGAGATATTCACTAAATAAGGGTCCAATATAGCTAATTAAATAACTGAAAATTCTCTGTAGGCTTTCATTTTATATGATTGATTTTTCTTATGTTTGAAGGAGCACGTCATGCTAAAGAAATACAAAAGACAGTTTTTTGAAAAATGTGATTCTTTCGCAGTCTAGGACTCTTCACTATTTTCCTCGAACAGAAAAATAAGAATTTAATAATCAACACTCTCTCAGATCTCTACAACCTGATATTCTTTTTCAAACAAAATAAAAATTAAATATATAGAATAAAAGTCCACAGAGAATTTTCCATTTCCCTATTAGCTACTTCTGATGAATATCTCATGAGAATATCATTATTTCAAATCGAAAATTGCATATGATTTGAATATTCTTGACCTAAAATCTAATCAACTGTAAACTTGTTAATATTCTAATAAATTATTTTAGGTCATCAATCAATGAATGATTTATTTCCTAATCATATTAATACAAATTCATCTGTTCTTAATTCATTACATTTAAATACTGATAATCAACAAATATTAAACATACATACACATCATACTTATCCACCAGCAGCACGTTTACCACGTATTGTTAAAATCCCATTAAAAGATAAATTTTCATTTCGAACAAGATTTATTCGTTTGGAATTTGATCATAGTACAGCAAGTTATTATTCAGAAATTGATACAGTTATTTTATATGGAAAAATTTTGCCTACTAATTCAATATTTAACGAAGAGGATAATAAATCTATTCTTTCGTCTTCAGAGGTTAGTCGAATATATAATAAATTATTATCTTTTGTTTTTTTTTTTTGTAATGAAATTCAATTTTAGATAATAATTGAAAATCGAAGTGAAGAAATAAATTCTTCAATGGATTTAACAAAACTTCCATTTGATATATTATTTATAATTTGTTCTTATCTTGATTTACGTTCATTAGTTCGTTTATCATCAACATGTCATATATTACATAATCAATGTCTTCATCCATTACAATTTCAATCACTTAATTTACAACCATATTGGAATGGTATAACAAATTTTGCAATAGAAAATTTTTTTTTACATCATTGTACACAAACTCGATATCTTTCATTAGCATGGACAAGATCAATACAATGTTCAGCATTTAATCAATTATTAAATATTTGTTCATTTAATATAGTTCAACTTAATCTTGCTTGTTGTCAATATTTAAATGGACAATATATTAAAATAATTGTTAATTGTTGTACAAATATTGAAATATTAAATTTAGAAAATTGTATTTCATTAAATAATCTAGATTTTATACCATTAAAATATCTTAATCATTTACGATCATTAAATATTTATAGAACTAAAATTGATTATAGAACTTTATTACCATTAATTGATAATAATAAAAACCATTTAGAAAATATTAATTTAGGTAAGAAAAATAAATATCAAAGTTTTTTTTTTTTTAAATCTTTGAGATATGTTCGGATTCCGAGAGGTCTGCACTCTTGGAACTGTCAAAAATGTAACTTTACTCTCAGAAAGGTGCGAATTTGAATTTGATTTTTGGTTTTCTCTACACTCACTCCGATCCACGAAAACGATTGCACCATATATATTTGTTATGTCTCGTAGCATTTCTGGTATGCTGAATTTTCGGATGTAAGACACCACGGCATTTTATTTTAAATTTGCGAGTAGACAAAGCGCGATGTTTTCAATAAATTATCGAGTTCTAGGAGTTCAGAACTTACGAAATCTGGACACATCTGAAATCTTACTCATACTCTGTGAAATAAATGCCAATGGCTAGGCTCATACAACAGAGAAAATATCATGATCTTAGGAAACCGAGATATATGGAGTCTAATAAAAAAATCGAACTTTCGTAGTTCAGTTTGTCTTTCGATCGGTAAAAATAGTTTCAAATGAAAGAAAACTCAAATTTATCAATTCTTGTAACGAAATTATATCATTCTTGAAGAAAATCAAGCAAAAACAAAGCATAGATACTGTTTCATATCAGTTTTTAAGTTACTAGATTAAAATTTTTGAAAGAGTCCTTCTTTTGTTCATATCACAGTACAATAAAAATTGTTAATATTAGAAATCTCAAGAGATAAATTAATATCACATTTCATGTCTTCATGGAACTCTTGTAATGANTATGTACGCTATAGATCAATTGAACGAAGATTTGTACAACGAAAAAATAATAATATAATTATACGAATAGTATGACATTTCATGTCTGCATGGAACTCTTGTAATGAGACTTTTTCTTAAAATAGTCAGTTGATCAAGTGGTATACTAAACGAACGAATTGATTTTTCTCTGATTAAGTCAAGAGTTTCAACCGACTGATTTAGTCCGATTGAAAAAAAATTCTATCGATTCCAAGTCTGATACATGAATTCGTTGTTCTATCTCCATTTTTAATTAATTTTGTTGATCTTTGAGTTAAAAATTATTCTTTTATTTAACTGCAATACATAGGTATTCAAAAAATTACATTTACGTAATTATCATATGAATATTTCGAGAAATCACATGATCTCAATATACGCAATTGAGTACAAAAAAAAATAAAAACGGCGCAAATCCTATCATTCAAAAGTAATGCGTAACTACTTTTGATGTGCATGACTTACTTATTTTGTCTTATCAATAGGTACAATCGTAAAATAAAAAAAACAGAAGAAAATTCTGTAATTAATATTTCTATTATTACTTTTTCTTTGTTTTTTAGGTAGTTGTCAAAAATTAAGTGATACTATTGGTATAATTAGATTATTATTTTTTCGTTGTACAAATCTTCGTTCAATTGATCTATGGCGTACATATGGTTTAACACAAAATGGATTTTTATCTCTTATTGGTTTACAATTTGATGTTGGAGAAGAAAAACGACGAATTTTAAATTTATCTAAAGATGAACAAGAAGAATTAGCTGTTCTTTATTCAAGTGTTAATATGCCTATTGAAATTAATTCAAAAATACATATGAAATATTTAAGTGAAATAGATCTTGGTTGGACAGATCCACCATCAGGTTTTATTAAAACTCTTGTTCAACAAATTGGACATTCATTAATTAAACTTTTCTTAACAGCTTGTCGACGTAAGTTTAATTAATAAAAAAAAATAGTCTCTACGTACTTAGAAAATAGAATAAAAGATTTCAATAAGTCTAAATCTATTTTCAATGATAAAGCTAAATC